AGTAAAAGTGACATAACTGAAAATACTAAAACTTTATGTGTGTGTTTTTTGTATCGGACAGGTAATAAAAAGGAATATTAAAAGAGAACATTGTGAAGTGAAAACGAGTGATGGTTCAGGTATATGTAGGTTAGGTTAGGTTAGGTTAAGTGATGATAACGTAAGAGGTGTTTAGGGGGGATTTTAATGAACTTTTTTTAATGGTTTATCAGTTGTTGCTTTCGTGTGTGGGTGTGTGTGTTATTAGAAGACTACTCACGAATCAACGTCTCTTAATCATAACACACACACACACACACACACACACACACACACACACACACACACACACACACACACACACACACACACACAGTATACTCTACAGGAAATCGACATAATAAAACTATCACCGAATTCCCTTCTTGGTGAAATATATTCAGCAATGGGGAGCTGGTGTAATATATATATATATATATATATATATATATATATATATATATATATATATATATATATATATATATATATATATATATATATATATATGCAGTAGCAGTGGCGGAGAGAGAGAGAGAGAGAGAGAAGAAGTTTGTTTTTGTGTTAAGATTAATCGACAGACATATTGCTTTCTGGTTTAAGGCTGAATATTTTAATACGATACATTGATAAAATACGACCTAGGTACGAGGATGTTGTGTGGAGCCAGGGGAGAGGGTACAGGGAGAGGAGAGTCGGATGAGGAGAAAGAGGAGAGGAACAAGGGGAGAAGGAAGAAGGAAACAGAGCAGAGGGGGAGGGGGTAGAGGGGAAGGACGAAGGGAGGCAACAAGAGTGTGTTTATTTGCTTGGTCCGGGAGAGCTTTTGATAGTAAAGGTCATCCAGCAGAACACATTTGGACAGGCTGGACAAACAGCTGGTGTGTTGACTCTTTCTGGCGTCCTCTGAGGTAAATTATAATTTTTCAGCATCTTGTTGATTTTCTCGGGAAGGTTCTCTCGACCAGCCTTCTTTGATGGCCTGTGGTTAATACTGGTGAAGGTAGTGGTGGCGTACTGTTTACCTGTGAGGGGGAGATGGGTGCAGGATTATGAACACTTAATATATTTGTGTTTTTTCACTTACACGAGTACACCAGCACGTGACAGTTGTTAATAAAGAGTGATGTTAGGGGTTTTATATACCTAAATATACATATACATATTTTTCATATAAGTGCACGGTACACACACACACACACACACACACACACACACACACACACACACACACACACACACACACACACACACACACACAGGTCAAGGACGATGGCCTCACCTTCACAACCAACCTCGCCTGGTGCATCATTCCCGACTTTACACTTGCGTACATAGATATTTCGTTCTCGTTTGCGAAATCTCCGTTTTATGTTTTTCATCACGAACGGAATGTCAAACCATGAGTGTGATTGCACCATTATGCAGACCGCCCTACACGCATTTGTATATTTTGTATATCTCTCTGTCGGTTGTTCTTCATAACCTGCCGACACTCGTGCAATTCTTCCTGTTTTTTAACGTTTTTCCGGGTGACATTATCGCCCCGTGTTAATTTATTTCACGTCAGATATGGTAGAGTCAAATGTGAAAGTAATATTCTGGATACTAAGGTTTATTTTGCGCATAACATTACAGCCATTTTTGAGAAATTTAGTGAGACTTCGTAGTAATGTTTTCTCATATGAGTCGCACAGTTATGGGTAAAATATTTTAATTTTTAGGGGAGAACTAAACTACTATGTATTTATATATTTTAGGTTCCTGTATTTTACACACACACACACACACACATATATATATATATATATATATATATATATATATATATATATATATATATATATATATATATATATATATATATATATATATATATATATATATATATATATATATATATATATATATATATATATATATATATATATATATATATATATATATATATATATATATATATATATATATATATATATATATATATATATATATATATATATATATATATATATAATAATAATAATAATAATAATAATAATAATAATAATAAGTTTTCTGTATGTCTCGCTAAAAGAAGAGTTGGCAGAAATGTTAATGTTTTTCGGGGCAAAAGAGTTAGCAACAAACAGCATGGCTGCTCTGCATAATTGATGCCGCCCCGACAAACTTTCTAAACACAATGACTTTTTTAAAAACAGACGAATGAGTTAACAAGAAAAGTGTTCCACCCCAAAATAGTGAACCTCACTAGTGAGACCAGACGAGTGAACAGTATAGTTCGTGTTGCTCTCAGCCTAACAACTCATAGCAGGGGTTCAATGTTGGCAGAAACCTGTGTGTGTAAATAATAATAATAATAATAAACGGTTTATTAATAGAGTTGCAGCCGGTGGCTGAAAATATACAGACTTACATGTGATTTAAACATAATTATAATATACATTCAAATAAATTTACAGGGCTGTACAGTACATCCATCAGGAGCTGCTTATTATTTTAACAAAAGATGAGATGGTGCTGTGTGAGGTGGGCGGGTGACTGCCGGTGACAGTAGGTGGCGATGATGAGGATGGTGCAGTAGTCCACTGTCAAACCCTGCTAGTGCGTGGTGGTGGAGGTCACTGAGGGATGGCATTTCCAGGGTGGAGAGAGCGTTGTTGTAGCCCGAGTAGTCTACGCCAAGCATGATTCTGCAGGCCCTCTTCTGTACCTTCTCTAGCTGACGTTGTTGTGTAGAGTTGAGAAAAGACGACCAGGCGTTGCAGATGGTCCTCAGCTCTGGCGTAGGTACCCCAAATGACCTGAGTCGTCGTAGCATGTAGAGTCGGTACGAGGCTGCCTTGATTGTGTTCTTTACATGGGCCTTCCAGTCCAGTTTGTCATCTATAGTTACACCCAGGAGTTTGGCAGACTGCACTAACTGAAGAGGATGGGCACCCACTGTAACTGCTGGGGCTTGCACTGGAGTGGTGGCGGTATTGAAGTGCAATACTACGGTTTTGGTGTGATTGATGGTGACCTTGTTCTCTGTAGTCCATGCCTGTAGCCTGTCCAGGGTGCCTTGTAGCGATGAGTAGTCCGGTGCGGTGTTGTCCACTGTAACCCCCACAGTGCAGTCATCCACGTACTTCCACCTGTGAGGAGTGTCCGATAGAGCGTCGTTGATCAGGATTAGGAAGCACAGTGGTCCCATCTTGGTCCCCTGGGGAACACCGCAGGTGAGGTGTTGGAATGTGGAGACAGAACCCTGGTACCTCACTGCCTGACGACGCTCACTCAGGAGATCAGTGAGCCATGAGACCAGGGTGGTGGGCAGCCCTAGTGCAATGGCCTTGTTGATAACAGTGCAGTGATCAACAAGGTCAAAAGAATTCCTGAAGTCAACAAGGGCAACGGCCAGTGATGTCTTATGCTTCTCCAGGTTTGTGTGTGTGTGTGTGTGTGTGTGCGTTCGTATGCGTGCATGTGCATGCATGTGCGTGTGTGTGTGTGTGTGTATCCAATAATAAAGAAAATGTGTCGAAAGTAAGCCCCTACTATTACCTATTTAATTCCATTTCTTTACCAAATAATATATAATTACTGGCAGCTAAATTCATCGAAATGAAACTTGTAGAGACAAAGTGAAATAATAAAGGCAACTAAACTCTCTGAAAAATTAGAAACTGTCCATCTGTGGCCACGTCTCCAGAAACATGACATCATAATTTAAAAAAATTCTGATTTCCAGACAGAATTTATGTGACGGTCTTTTCTCGCAGCATTTCAGCTCAAAGAAGGATTCTGACCCATCAGTTTGGCTTAGATTCTTCCAAGCTCACACGATGTCAGAGAGAGAGAGGAGAGAGAGAGAGAGAGAGGAGTCGCCTACCTCTCACGTGGTCAGTCTTGGTCTGTCTCTTTGTGTGTCTATCTCTCTCTTTATGTAAGTATTTGTCTGCTTTATTTGTATAGAATTTTTTCCATTTATATTTCTAATTTCTCTTTCTCTCTCTCTCCCTCTCCCTCTGTCGTCTCTCTCTGTCTCTCTCTCTCTCACTTTTATTCAGCCAGATATTAAACTCTTAAACTGTATTGACTCCTAAAAAAACTATTATATTCAACTTTATTCACATATTTTGGCTTATAAGAAATGAAGAAATACGAATAAATATTTTCATTAATATTTGTCTACGTTTAATCAGCCCAACTCCTGCCTGTCCTGACTTCCTGATGGATGTTTCTCGTGTGGAGGATTTTCCTTCACCATGCCAGAGGTGCCAGAAACTGTGCCAGAATGTTGCCAGTTGTTGGCAGCAACACATCAAGGGTGCCAGTTGCCAGTTCTCAAGGTGCCAGCTTCAGGGGTGGCAGTTCCTGGTTCTCAAGGGTGCCAGTTCTCCCCCGGTGCCAGTTCTCGCTGAGGGTGCCTCATCTGCCAGTCTGAGGGTGCCATCAGTCTCTGCTAGTTCTCAAGGGTGCCAGTTGGGCACTCAAAGGGTGCTTCTTCCTCAAGGGTGCCCGTTCTCAGTTCTGGGTGGCCGTGCCAGTTCTCAAGGTGCCTCTCAGGGTGCCAGGGGTGCCAGCTCAAGTCAAGGGTGCCAGTCTTGCCAGCTCAAGGGTGCCACTTCTCCACAAGGGTGCCAGTTCTGTGCCAGTCTCATGGGTGCCAGTTCTCAAGGGTGCCAGTCTCAAGGGTGCCAGGTTCTCTGGGTGCCTGTCCAAGGGAGCCAGTTCCTCAATGCCAGTTCTCATGGGTGCTCTTCTCAAGGGTGCCAGTTCCTCAAGGGTGCCAGTTCCCAGTGCCAGCTCTGTGCCAGTTCCTAGAGTGCCCTCATGGGTGCTGGGCCAGTTCTCAAGGGTGCCACCTCAAGGGTGCCAGTTCTCAAAGGTGCCAGTTCTCAAGGGTGCCAGTTCTCAAGGGTGCCAGTTCTCAAGGGTGCCAGTCTCAGCCAGTGGTGCCAGTCTCAAGGGTGCCAGTTCAAGGGTGGCAGTTCCTCATGGTGCTCATTCTCAAGGGTGCCTGTCTCAAGGTTGCCCTCAAGGGTGCCAGTTCTGGTGGAGGCCAGTCTCAAGGGTGCCAGTTCTCTAGGGTGCCAGAAGGGTGCCAACCTCAAGGGTGCCAGTCTCAGTTCTCTGCCAAGTGCCAGTTCTCGGGGTGCCACTCTTGCCTCAAGGTGCCAGTTGTCAAGGGAGCCAGTTCTCAGTTCTCAAGGGTGCCTGCTCAAAGGGTGCCCGTTCTTAGCCCTCAAGGGAGCCAGAGGGTTGCCGTTCTCAAGGGTGCCAGTTCTCAAGGGTGCCAGTTCTCAAGGGAGCCAGTTCTCAAGGGTGCCAGTTCTCAAGGGTGCCAGTTCTCAAGGGTGCCAGTTCTCAAGGGTGCCAATTCTCAAGTGTGCCCGTTCTCAAACCTGGTTCTCTTATAGTCAAAACGTAGAACTACTCAACTGGCATCAATGTCAGTAGTGTTATGAGGGTCACGTACAGGGTGTAAGTTTAGCGGGTGACCGTGACCTTTGACCCTTGAAATCAATAGGAATGCTCCGTGTGCTTCAAGTATAGGTAACTCTCTCTCTCTCTCTCTCTCTCTCTCTCTCTCTCTCTCTCTCTGACACACTTCACCCCCTAACCCACAACTAAACACAGCCTCTATCATCTCTACTCTACACATCTACATATAAATCTATACACATCGTCCACTAACACCTAACCTAACCTAACCTAACTTATACACATCGTCCACTAACACCTAACCTAACCTAACTTAACCTATCCATTCGTATCGATGGGCTGTTTATCTAATGGGGATCACTTAGGTTAACAACTTTATTGACAAGATTGAAGCACATTTTTGCCTAGAAAGAGAATAGTTGAGTCTAGGGAGGTGTGTGTGTGTGCGCGCGCGCGTGTGTGTGTGTGTGTGTGTGTGTGTGTATAGGCGACCTGTGATGTAATGGTCAGCATGCTTGCCACGCAAGCGAGTGGACCCAGGTTCGATCCCCGGGCAGGGTGAAACTATGGGCAAGTTTCTTTACGCCATTTGCCTCTGTCTACCTAGCAGTAATTGGGGACCTGGATGCTAATCGATTCGCGGATCGTGTTCCGGGTTAGCCAGTGCAGTTGGCGAGTTGTCCGGTCTTCTCGGACTATTCCTTGACACTGGGTCATGCAGCTCGTTAACTCAGGGTGTGGTTGTTGTGTTGGCGACAGCTTCTACACCTTAAACAAATTCACGCCCAGGAGGCTCTTGTACCGGCCATCCTCGTTACACGAGGGGCAACCCTTGTTATATTATGTATGTATGTATGTATGTATGTATGTATGTATGTATCATATTAGAGAGTATTAATATGGGCCACGATATGAGCCAGCAGGTATTCCGGAGCTTTGGGTTAATAATACACTGTCAACACCGTATCCTGTGTTTGAGGTTTAATGCACCGAAAATAATTACCTGTCGTAGTTTCCATCTTCCGAAGGCCTTACCTGTGTCACGACTCTGGTTCTAAGTCTGGCTGTCTGTCTGTTTATCAATCATTTCTTCTCTTCATATCTCTCTCTCTCTCTCTCTCTCTCTCTCTCTCTCTCTCTCTCTCTCTTCTAATGGCATAAACAATACAAATAAAATATCACACATATACGTATAAATTAATGGACAGACAGTCAAACCAACACAGAGAGAGAGAGAGAGAGAGAGAGAGAGAGAGAGAGAGAGAGAGAGAGAGAGAGAGCACCATGATAGTTAATGTCGTAATTATGAGTGACAGAAACTGTTTATACCATTAAGAGATAAATTATGAGGAAGTGAGTTGTTTACTGCACCAGTCACCTGCCTCATGAATGTGTGTGTGTGTGTGTGTGTGTGTGTGTGTGTGTGTGTATGTGTGTGTTCCGTACGTGGGAATAATTGAACGGCAACAGTATCACCCGGCGGAGTAGCGGGAGTCCTAGAAATAGAGAAAATGATAGAAAGTTAGAGAAAGTTACATTCGGTGAGGGACTTTTACCATCTTGTTGATTTTCTCTTTCTCTGTCACTCTCACTTTCTCTGTCACTCTCACTTTCTCTGTCACTCTCACTTTCTCTGTCACTCTCACTTTCTCTGTCACTCTCACTTTCTTTACATAATTTACTTATTTTTTCTATCTAACTTGTGATGTAATATTTGTTTCTGATGGTAAATTTAATTGGCATGAAAGTATAGTAGACCATGTAAAGTTATGTAAGGTGTAATTAAATAACTAAATCACTCACTCACTCACTCACTCACTCACTCACTAACTTGCACTTCTCGAATATAACTTCTTTTAATAAATACGTAGAATTTATTTACAGTCTTGCAAAAAAAGGAAAGAAAGATAGAGGACAGGACCCCCTCCGAGAGAGAGAGAGTCTCTAATAATGGTGCAAAAAACTGGGAGACAAGACTAGCGAGGCGACAGTTGAACCCAGCAAAAAGCTTGGTGGGTCTCTTAATTTAGAAATAGTTGCTGGTGAGATTAAGTGACTCTTTCTATTAAGCTGGATTTTATTTTTTCACTCATATTTTAAAGCTTTTTTCACTCGTATTTTAAAGCTTTTTTTCACTCGTATTTTAAAGCTTTTTTTCACTCGTATTCTAAAGCTTTTTTTCTCTCTTATTTTAAAGCTTTCTTTCTACTCGTATTTTAAAGAATTTTTTCTATCGTGAATCTTATTATATAATTACTATATTTTACTTTTTTTGTTGAATAAGAAAGAACATTATCAAAAGCTAAATTACTTTTTGTCGAAATACTCGTATGAATGACTATTTTGAGGATTATTTATTTATTTATTTATTTATTTATTTATTTATTGGTCAAAACACGAAGGGCCAATACCATGAATGTTGGCCCCCGGAGCCTCCTAACCAGCACATCATATATTAAACCATAGTTACGACCGGAAAACTCACCCTGTATGTAAATAAGACAGTTATATTTACATTTTATTTACATTTTATTTACATTTTATGGCTTCTCAGACTTCAGTGATATTTACAACTGGGGCGGTAAAGATTTAAGCTCTTATATATTATCGTTATTACTTAGTGACTGGGGAAAGCTTACGAGTTATTTACAAGTGTTAGGATGAGTTATAAAGCAATGGGTCTATTATAAATGTCTGATTAATGTAGTAATTTAGGGATATAAAGTCCCATACATCTTAACGTTAGAATATACACAAGTGGTACTTATACATTATACATAACCAGTTGATTCATAGATATATACTGTACAGTCAAGTCTTCCTCGAGAGTCAAGTGATAACCTTCCTTAACTTTCTGTCTGCATAATGTCGAGGAGGAGGAGGAGGTGGTGGTTCAACGCTGACCTTCCTTAACTCCCCCTCCTAACACTACCCCATCCACCTCCCTTTTACCTCCCCCCTTCACCCCCCTTCACTCCCCCTTGACTGTCCCTTCTCCAGATTTAAGACGGCGTACAGTTAATTGGTTGGCTGGGTACGGCAACAAAAAACGGGAAGAAGTCATTGTACTGTTTTCATTATGCTTACTACAGCGAGAAGGAGGAGCGGCCTCCCATTAGTGCTGGCCGTAGCTCCTCACCACGACGATGACGATGACGGCGACGATGACGATACACATTGAGGACTCTGTCGGGTCTGGTGCTGTTATCACCCTCAGACTCGTGGTGTCCTTATGGTCGAATATTCTGTCTTGTCTCCTCTTCTTCCTCCTCCTTCTCCTCTTCGACTTCCTCCTCTTCGTCTTCCTCCTCTTCCTACTCTTCCCCCTACTCCTCCTTTTCCTCTTCCTCCTCCCCTTCTTCCTCTTCCTCCTCCCTTTCTTCCTCTTCCTCCTACTCCTCATACTACTCGTTCTTTTTGTTCTAATTGTTTTGATGGAAATATTACAATAATTAACCTCCAGTCATCGTCGCGTATCAGGGAAAAAAAAACCAATCCTACTTTTCTGCTTCACTTTCCTTGTTTCCTCAAGATGGTCTACGAAATATCAAAGAGTCTTCAAGATGCTGACCTGACGCTGTTGTTGGGTGTTGTTTATCATCCCAGAGAGAGAGAGAGAGAGAGAGAGAGAGAGAGAGAGAGAGAGAGAGAGAGAGAAATGTTATCTCTCCTCACTGCCACACGTGTCGCTTCATACGTTATAACATCATTCATCAGCACAACATGTCCACAACCCAAGGCTCTTGAGGGCTTTTACAACACCTCCCAAAACTTTTTCTTCCTGATATTGTACTTCAAGAATCACCATGACTACAGATTTCTATGTATTGAATTAATTTAACTGGTTAATTCAACATACTGGTATACTCAAGATTTTGTTTCAAGACTCAAAAAAATAAGAAACGTTTTTATTTTGATTAAAGTTTGTCGTACCAGAAAATAATACATAGTGGACGATATTTTAAGACGCTGATTATCAAAGAACCAAAATACATCAAAACAAAGACGATTTAGTATTCGCAAACTTTTATTTAAGACAGCCAGCCAGACCAGCTCGGTGAGGGAGGGAGGATAGGAAGGTCCTTCCCTATCAGATTCAGGGAAGCTTTCAGTGCAGGTAACATGAGGCGGCCGCTCCCTCTACCACAGGTGGCCCTCTTCTCAGATCTTGATATTGAGTGGAGATACCTGGAGTTGTTGGTTGTGTGTGTGTGTGTGTGTGTGTGTGTGTGTGTGTGTGTGTGTGTGTGTGTGTGTGTGTGTGTGTGTGTGTATCTGTGTCTGTATGTATGGACCTATGGTGTAATGGTCAGCATGCTTGCCTCGCAAGCGAGCGGTCCCGGGTTCGATCCCCGGGCAGGGTGAAACTATGGGCAAGTTTCTTTACGCCGTTTGCCTCTGTCTACCCAGCAGTAATTGAGATCCTGGATGTTAATCGATTTAAGGATCGTGTTCCGGGGTAATGGTTAGCCAGTGCAGTTGGCGAGTTGTCTGGTTTTCTCGGACTATTCCTTGACACTGGGTCATGCAGCTCGTTAACTCAGGATGTGGTTGTTGTGTTGGCGACAGCTTCTACACCTTAAACAAATTCACGCCCAGGAGGCTCTTGTGCCGGCCATCCTCGTTACACGAGGGGCAACCATTATATATGTATTTACTTATATGAGTGCGTCTGTATGTGTGCGTGTACGTATCTCGTAGTACCCGATGTGTTAGTGTGTATACAAAATGAGGAATATTTTAGTGAATATTCCTCAACTCAACATAAATCACACGATAAATTGACGACTCCACTCTTTAATTATAAGATATTTTCGTACTGTCGTATTTCTCCTTAGCCCCGAGTATTCCTGCCCCCTTATCACTATCAAGCTGCTTATCGTACTTAACACATTTTACTGTTATTTTGTTACATCCTCAATACAGCATCACCTGTTATCAT